ATCACTTGTGGAGCATCCAGATCTAACCATGACCTGCAGTCCATAAGGGAAGCCGCAGCCCTGTTCCAGTCACTTTAGGCACGGACCATGCATTCTGGGTCTGAGTTGCCATCCAGACTCGTGTGGCATCACCAGCAGTGCCTGGACCAGGGTCTGGGCCTACCGGAATGAGTCCTCAGCGAGATGTTGCTGGATACAGGCCCCTTTCTCAAGTCCAAGTACTGCAAGGGAAAGGTGAAAAGAACCCTCCATGTGAAACAGGGATCTGGAAAAAGGCACACAGGAAGTAGATAGTTCGAGTCTCTGGGCCTCCAACAGGGAACATCCTTGAACAGGAACACCTGTGCAAAATGTGTGCCTGTGCAAGTACGGACTAAACCAGAACAGACATTGTCTCTGCGAGAAAAGTACAAAAGCAAACAAGAGTAATAAAATCAGGAACAGGGCCGAGAGGCATGGTAATGACCATGGGGCCAAAACTACAACCATGCCCCAGCAATTAGACCATTTGACCACTATGCCACCTGAAAATACGGCTGGGCCCTTAGTCCCAGTGTGGCAGGGCCCGATATGCCACACACAGCATTAAACATGTATAGGGCTTGTGACCCTCACCTACATACACGGGCTATTCCCTGCGCTTTACACACGTATCATCATATAATCAATGTTCTGTTGCCCGGTTATAATCACCAGTGGTCGTCATACTGGAACGTTTGCTTTATCTTGTAGTAGGGCCTGTACTGATACTCTAAGACACACATTGAAGAGCCATAAGGGTTTCAAATTTTAATGCTTCCTTTAAACTACCAGTTTACACGAGCCTAAGTTGACGAAGCTACCTTCCAAAGATCACGAGCCTGCACCTGCGCCTTTTCAAAGTGGCCTGGCGCTTTTGCTACCGGCCCAGGTCTGAATCAAAAAGCTCTTACCGTGTACACCAGTAAGAGCAGTACTCCGCTTCGCATGAACTGGCGGTTTAAGCTCTTCTTCGTTGAGGACTAGCTTGACCAACCTTATATGTTCACATCTTGCCCATTCTCTCATCACCTGACTTTGGGTGCCATACACTTGATTGAGTGTGCACCTAAACAATTTGTTATTGGTTTCTGGCCACTGCTTGATACTGACAACAAAACCACATCACACACTGAACACAGTCAACAAATGAGTGATATTCGTAATTGATTGGCCACGAAACAGAAGCATCAAGCAGGATCTGCATCATTTGGTTTCATCCACCTAACATACCTACATACCTGTGCAAACCCGTCACAACTCAAAATCATCTGCCCATACTTCTCTCCAAGATCTTTGGGAACCTTTCCATCAGCACCAAGACTTGGCAATCCCTGCACACCACGGATACTTGTCCCCAGGCCCAGCTGCCGTGAGGTCTCTAGCGCAATAACAACCTGATCACCTGCAATGAATATAATGCAGAAACAAGTCACACTGGGTATCAGGTCAGGTAGAGAGGTCCAAGAATAACAGACAAGGAATTGCATAGCACACAACCATCTTGATATAGGTCTGTTAGAGGCCTTAGGAAACCTTTGAATCAACATAAGATGCCACAACTTCACAAGCCCTGCACACCCTGATAGTTGTCCAGCTTGCGAGAGGTCTGTAGAGAGAGAACTGAATTTGACGCTGTCGCCATCAACACACATCAGGAGATCGTTATTACTTTCAAATTTGAATGCTCTGAATTTGACAGTGTCCAAACAAGCAATTGCATTATTTGCATTCTGCACATATGACGAATTTTGGAAGGACTCTAGAGAGTCCAGTCACTTGAAGGGACCTTGATCGTAAAGGCCAGGGGGGGGAGGGGGGGGCTGTGGTGTGATGTAAAAACCCGCAAAAATGCAGATCATGAATCCCATGCTTTCCGAGATTTGGCCATTGTTTTTGTGTGTTTGCTGGGATTCCTGTTGTTTGAGTATGTTCCTGGTATGGCGGTTGTTCATATCTGTGTTCCATATGCCTGTTTGTCTATCTGAGTACTTGGGTGGGAGGGTGACCGTGAAGGGTGGCCTGTGTGTTTCGGGCCTGGTCCTAAACCCTGTTACCATGCTGTTGGCTTGTGCAGCGGGTACAGGTCCAGTAGACTCAGTAGGCTCGGGGTAGGAAGGCCCTAAGCGGCCAAAATCATGGAGTACCAGGAAGGTAGACAGAAAAGGACAAAAGGTAGTACTTTGGGCAGGCCGAGGTATTTTCCTGAGGTCCAGTAGGCCTGGGAGAGAGGTCTCAAAGGTACCAGCCTGAATAAAGCCTGAAAAGAGTCTAGGTCCACGTTCCGTAGGTAGGATACCAGTCTGCAGTGATCTCCAGCCAAAATGGGTGGAAACTGGTAGGTCCTAGAGGCTGCATACCTGGGAAGGCACCGCGTAGTGAGGTAGTGGCCGAAGCATATCCTGAGGGGTGGTGAGTTGCTCCTCTTTTGCCAAGTGCATGGCAGCAGTGCTGCTTGTCCTAGAGCTTGGCAGGTGAAGCGTCAAGCAGCAGCGTAGAGGTGGAGCTGTCACCCACCGTGGCTATGGTGGTTGAGCGAGGGTGAGGTAGGAGAAGGGAAATGCTATGGAGGTGAAGTAGAGGGAGGAAGAATGAGGAGGAGAGTGAAGCAGGAGACTTAACTTGGCTATGGAAGACCTGTGCAATGACTTGCTGGTTCCAGTGGCCTGTAGCCTCTCTTGTCAAGGCTGTACTATAGGTAGGACAGATTCGTAATTTTGTTTGGCTGAGGGCTAACCGAGAAACCTTCCTGTAAGGAAAATTTGTGAGGGATAAATTAGGGAAAATATAGGCCCGCACTAACTGATGTAATGATCCCGTAAGATCCAACTCAAAATACCACATGCAAATTGGGAGCGTTCAGATAAAGAACTCACAAGCTTGGGCTATGGCCATGAAGAGTGCCAATTCGAAATTCCACTCAAAGTACAAATAATATACAATGCTGATGCTCCCCAGAATGGAAAAGGAGCCGGGGCCATGAGGTCCTGTTTGAAAAGAAAAAAAAACTAAATTAAAAAAAATAAATAAAAATAATAATAATAAAAAAAAAAAATAATATACAATTAAACAGTTTGGGACTGGGCGGTCTACAACACACTCTGGTAAGGACCCGACTTTCTCCCCCTCCGATCTGGTTCTTCTCTCCCTCTCTTACTCTCTATCTCTCCACTCACATCTCTGCACTGCTCATCCCTCGATGCTCCCTGCTACTGTTCCTCCCTCTACAATGTCCTGGATCTACCCTGAATGCCTCTGCGGTGTGCCTCACAACAACGGGCGGCTATGGCCGCCAGACACTTCACCTCCCCCTTTCCTGGCTATGGTGGTCGGTCGCAGCCAGGGCGCTGGTCTTCTTCCTCCCTTCAGCGCACTTCTTCGTCCAGGTCGCTAGTCCGCACAAGCTCCAACAGCTTCCACAAATTTGTGAAATGACAACTGACTGTCCTCCGGCACAGTAGCCCAAAATATATAGTTGAAGTGGGCTGGGTGTGTGTTACATGCTGCGCCTGCAACAGGCTGCACGGGCCATTTTCAGCCCCGTGACGTTTCCAGCCCGAAAGCCTGAAAACAAGGGCCTACAGGCCCTGTGTCATTTCAGCCTGAAAGCCTGAAAACAAGGGCCTACAGGCCCTGTGTCGTTTCAGTCTAAAACAGGGCCTTCCAGGCCCTGAGCCTTTTCAGCCTGAAACGGAGGGCCATTTTTCAGGCCCTCATAAGATCGACCTGCCCTGAAACTTAGGCACCAGACCAGGGTTTTAGCACAGGCCATTTTGGGCCTGTTTTCAAGACAACCTTTGGTTGAGCTTCAATGCCAGGGTCTGGCACATTTTGGCATTGGTAAAACAGCCTTTACGAATCAGACCCCAAATGGATGCCCCAGCAGCAAGGGGCCCTGTCGACCAGAACTTAAATTCACGAGCAGCAACTCAAAAGACAAAGTTCCCTGAGGCATATGTCGCACCCATAATGATATGAAAAGTCGTTTCAAACAGTCACAAACAGGTCCTGCGCAAACAGGTATTGGACACAGTTTTCAAGACTGAGTTAGGGTCATGTCTCTTCGAGAAAAGTCATGTCTGTTCGGCAATAAGTCAAAGGCTACAGTCCCAGTTCAGTCGTAATTCCACGAGTCAGTCCTGATTCAGACCAGGAGTCCAAAAGACAGGGCCGATGGCCCAAAGCAGCAGCAGACCATGGGAAAGACACTGGGACACTGGCATACTGCGTAGCCACACGGGCCTTGGAGGGCCCGTCCCGCACTTTCAGCCTAAAAGCCTAGAAAATAGGGCTTACAGGCCCCGGTCGTTTCAGCCTGAAACTGAAAACGAGGGCCTGCAGGCCCTATTCCATTTTCAGCCTATTTCTGGGCCTTTCAGGCCCAGAGGCTTTTCAGCCTGAAACGGAGGGCCATTTTCAGGCCCTCATCGTTTCGACTGACCCTAGGACTCAGGCACATAAACAGGGTTTTCGGAACAGGCTATCTTTAGGAGGTTCCCGGTAGTACATAGGAGGTTCCCATGCACATCACGGGTAGGTAGTTGGACAGTAGGCACGAGTAGTCTTCAGGATTCAGCGCAGCACTCAGGAGGAGCGCTGCAGGGAGTAGCTTAGCGCTAGCAGTAGTCTTCAGCGCTGGGCGCTAGTAGCCATAGCAGTAGTCTTCAGCGCTGGGCGCTAGTAGGTGGTAGATAGTAGAGTTGGGAGAGATGGCTGGCGGAGGCCAGCGAGACTTACCTGTGGCGCC